CTCCCCTCACAGTCCCTCCTCCTCCTCACTTGCCCTCTGTGATTGCCTCTAGCTTGGCTTGTGCTTGTGCACTTATTCTGTGACTGCTCATTGTGCTGACTATACCCCGATTTGCCTATGGGGGTGTGTCAGAATGTTATAATTGTATAGCCTGCAGTGGGGTACTCTATAGCGAGTACAACCCAATTAGGGTTTCCTTGTCAAACATTATATATGTTATTGTTGTGTAGGCTATAGCGGGCTAGCCTTTACGGGGTATATCATCCTAGGGTTTGCTAGTTGTATCACCCAATGTTCCTAGTTCAATCACTTGTTCATTCTGACATGGTATTAATAGCGTAGGTCCTAGCCCTAGGACCGCTTACCTAAGGGCCCATCGTTCTGCTAAACGCGCCCTCGTGCGCCTTCTCCTAATCGCGCCCTCGTGCGCCTCACACCTAGTGCGCCCTCGAGCACCCCACTTTTTTTACGGCCGCGTCGACCGCTAGTCGCTCGCTCGGCCCTTTTTTTGTCCGTGTTGCCCGCTAGCCGCCCGCGCGCGGCCCCTTTTCTGAGCGCGCCTCGACCCCTAGCCGCCCGTGCGACCGGCGCCGCCCACGAGCAGCCCCTAGCCGCCCGTCGACCGCCGCCTAGAGCGTCGCAGCCACGCCCGTAGGCTTCAGTCAGCGGCAGGGAGTTGACTACTTTCAGACCTTCTCTCCTACCCTGAAGATGACCACTCTTCGGGTGCTGCTACACATAGCCGCTCAGCGCGACTACGAGCTTCACTCTCTTGACTTCAGCACAGCTTTCCTGCAGGGCAGCCTGCACGAGGAGATCTGGCTGCGCTGCCGACCTGGCTTCACTGGGTCGTTTCCCCCTGGTACCCAGTGGAGCCTCCGGCGGCCAGTCTACGATCTCCGCCAGGCGCCCCGTGAGTGGCACGACACACTGAGGACTACACTTGCGGCTCTTGGGTTTGCTCCTTCTACAGCCGGCCCGTCGCTGTTTCTGCGCACCGACACCTCTTTGCCGGCGTTCTACATCCTCGTGTACGTCGACGACTTGGTCTTTGCCACTGCTGACACTGCTGGACTCGCCCACGTGAAGTCCGAGCTGCAGAAGAGACACACGTGCACAGACCTGGGTGAACTGCGCAGCTACCTTAGCTTGCAGATCACCCGGGACAGAGCACAACGCACCATTACCCTGACCCAGTCACACATGGTGCAGCAAGTCCTTCAGCGCTTCGGCTTCATGTACTCCTCGCCTCAGGCCACTCCTCTGTCTACTCGCCACTCGCTCTCAGCTCTGCCTTGGGATGAGTCCGTAGAGCCGAGTGGCCCATACCAAGAGCTTGTTGGCTGCCTCATGTACCTGATGACCTGCACACGACCTGACCTTGCATACCCTCTTAGCATCTTGGCACGCTATTTTGCTCCTGGGAGACACCGACCAGAGCACATGGCTGCAGCGAAGAGGGTGTTGCGCTACTTGTGCAGTACGTCAGGCATGGGGCTAGTGCTTGGATGGCGACGTTCAGTGGTCCTCACAGGTCATGCAGACGCTTCTTGGGCTGACGACCAGGCTACGCAGCGGTCGTCACAGGGTTATACCTTCAGCCTTGGTTCCGGCTCTATTTCGTGGCGGTCTACCCGCTCGTCTTCTGTTCTCGGCTCCAGCTGTGAGGCTGAGATCTACGCGGGGGCCATGGCTGCACAGGAGCTACGCTGGCTCACCTACCTGCTGACTGACCTAGGAGAGCCGCCTCGTTCTCTTTCAAATCTGTACGTAGACAACAAGGCCATGCTGGCCTTGTGTCGGGAGCACAGAACGAAGCACATTGCTCTTCGCTACTTCCTTGCTCGTGAGCTGCAGCAGCATGGTCAGCTGCGCCTTGCTTACGTGGCCTCTAAGGCCAACACTGCTGATATCTTTACCAAGGGACTTCTGCCTTGTGATCATCAGCGCTTTTGTACGATGCTATGTCTTGTGCCTACTTGGCCTCACTTGCTCACTTCTTGACCTTGCTTGTACTGTGATCTTTCTATACCTGCACTTGCTTGTTTACCTTTGTATATGATCTTGCATGTGAACTGGCCTTGTGGCCTTGAACCTGTGCTCGGACTGTGTGGTGACGTTGTGATCCACCCTGAGCTTGCTTTGCTTTGCTTGACTGGTCTTGTGACCTCTTCTTCTTCCCCACTTTGCCTATGGGGGTGTGTCAAGTTTATATGCTATAGTCTGTCTAGGCTGTAGTGGGGTAGATACTATAGGTTACAACATTTCTAGGTTTCCTATTTGTACCCACATTTTGCCTAGTCATTCCATTCCTCATTTCTTCACAGCCATAACCTCCCCCTCCGTTAGGCCTCTTGGCCTGTGGACCAGGCTGGTGATCACGCTGCTGGAAAGGCCTTTTGTTCCAACCGCTTCCACCCTTCGCATTCTGGGGCCGGTTCCCCTGACCACCAGAGCCTTGAGCATGGGGCTACTGGCGTGGCTTTGCAGGACCATGGATATATGTGCGAATGATGGTGTCAATTTTGATCACTTGCTCCTTCATCTCCTTGTAAGTCGTCCAATTGGTCATGCTGCCGATCATGTGTGCCTCCTGCAGGTTGACAGGGAGGCTTTTCATGAAGACGTGCATCATCTCCTCCTCAGACAAGGGCTTCTGGAGAGAGCGTGCTGCGGCCTCAAACTCGACCGCATATTCTTGCACCGAACGGTCTTGACACTTGATATGCTCAAGGCGTCTGCGCAGTTCCAGGTCGGACTTCTTGACCATGAATGCCTCTTTCAGCGCGGTGCAGAACCCCGACCACCCAAATGGTCCCTGCGCCTGCTTCTTAGCGCCATACACTGCACTGCGGACCACCTCGTCCAATGCATGAGTGGCTGCAGTAACGCGAGCCTCAGGACGCACATTCGCAAGGATCATGGTTTCATTCACCAGGTCAAGCCAAGGCTGCACCTCCGTCTTGCGATGGTTAAACTCAGGCAGAGGCACCGAGAGAGACCCAAAGGGCGAGGTCTCAATTGGAGGTGGCTCATGCATAGCCGTTGCAGCGCCTACCGCCGGGGGTGCGAGCGGAGCGGGTGCTCACTGGGCAGCAGGAGCGGGCCTACGCCCAGGAGGAGGTTCATAAATACCATCCCTCCTAAGATGGGTCAACTGCTCATTGGGTTTGTTGAATGATGCTTGCAGATTCTTGCAAGTCTTATGAAGCCACTCAATTTGGCGGTTTTTAGTGCCTAGGCTGCGACAGAACTCAGTAACCTCCTTCATGGTAATGCTCAGCCTAGCCTGGAGGTCCCGAGTGTGCTTCTTGAGTCCATCAATGGACGTCTGCTGCTGCAGGATGGTGATATTCTGAGTTGCCACTTTAGTCTGGAGTTCGACAATCTCCTCTAAGACAGGATAACGCATGCCTTCACCCTCAGTGAAGTCATTTTCATCACCAGTGTTCTCCTTTTTACCGGTGTTGTCCTCCTCCCCATTGTTGTCAGCTTCACCATGGTTATCAGCTTCACCATGGTTATTAGCTTCAACATGGGTATCAGGTTCAGCATATTTATCCTCATCCTCCAGGTCCAAGTTCTCAATGTCATCCAGCTCAATGTCAGCCATTGCCTCATCTTGATTGAGGTCAATCTCAGCAGCATTGTTCACCACCTCATTAGGTACAGTGGGCCCTTCCTCCCTTGCCATATCCTTCTCTTGGCCAGATGCCATAAGGATTAAGGGAGATTGTAAGATCTGGGTTGATTCTGTTTAAGTCTTTTTACCACCTCAATGGTAAAGCAAGAAATTCTTATAAAAGAAATTTCTTCTACAGAATCATCCAAGGTTACCAAAGGTAACAAATTTGTTATCAAGCAGTCCCAATCACCAAAGTGAAAGGGCAGGGTTTATCCAAATCTCAATAAAGAGAGCTTGTATAACCCTCAACAAATCCTCCAGATCCAGGTTTATACTCCACTACTCAACAGTAGAGAGTCTTCCACCAAAAGGTGGGCAAGATGTGAAGTAGTGAACGTGAATGAATGAACTATGAGTGAAGTTGGTACAAGTACTAACCCTAATTGGGTTGTACCCCCTATGGGATACCCCACTATAGCCTACACAAAAGCATAAGCTATATGTTCTGACACACCCCCATAGGCAAAGTGGGGGAGAACAAGGGGTCACAAGACCAGTCAAGCAAAGCAAAGCAAGCTCAGGGTGGATCACAACGTCACCACACAGTCTGAGCACAAGGTCAAGGCCACAAGGCCAGTTCACATGCAGGAGGAGACATATATATAAGTCTAAACAAGCAAGAGCAGGTATATATATATGCAAGAGTACAAGTAAGGTCAAGAGGTGAGCAAGTGAGGCAAGACTGGGACAAGTCCCAGCTGAGTGCAGAAACGCTGATGATCACAAGGCAGAAGTGCCTTGGTGAAAACATCAACAGTGTTGGCCTCAGAGGCCACGTACGCAAGTCGCAACTGACCACGCTGCTGCAGCTCACGAGCAAGAAATTAGCGGAGAGCAATGTGCTTCGTTCTGTGCTCCAGGCGCTGCTCTCAACACAAGGCCAGCATGGCCTTGTTGTCTACGTACAGAACTGGAGGAGAACGAGGCGGCTCTCCAAGGTCAGTCAGCAGGTAGGTGAGCCAGCGAAGCTCCTGAGCAGCCATGGCCTCGGCGTAGATCTCAGCCTCACAACTGGAGCCGAGAACAGAAGACGAGCGAGTAGCCCGCCACGAAACAGAGCCGGAACCAAGACTGAAGGTGTAACCCTGCGACGACCGCTGCGTAGCCTGGTCGTCAGCCCAAGAAGCGTCCGCGTGCCCAGTGAGGACCACTGGACTCCGCCCTCCAAGCACTAGCCCCATGCCCGACGTACTGCACAAGTAGCGCAACACCCTCTTCGCTGCAGCCATGTGCTCTGGTCGGTGTCTCCCAGGAGCAACATAGCGTGCCAAGATGCTAAGAGGGTATGCAAGGTCAGGTTGAGTGCAGGTCATCAGGTACATGAGGCAGCCAACAAGCTCTGGGTACGGGCCACTCGGCTCTACGGACTCATCCGAAGGCAGAGCTGAGAGCGAGTGGCGAGTAGACAGAGGAGTGGCCTGAGGCGAGGAGTACGTGAAGCCGAAGCGCTGAAGGACCTGCTGCACCATGTGTGACTGAGTCAAGGTAATGGTGCGGCGTGCTCTGTCCCGAGTGATCTGCAAGCCAAGGTAGCTGCGCAGTTCACCCAGGTCTGTGCACGTGTGTCTCTTCAGCAGCTCGGACTTCACGTAGGCGAGTCCAGCAGTGTCCGCTGTGGCAAAGACCAAGTCGTCGACGTACACGAGGATGTAGAACGGCGGCAGAGAAGTGTCGGTGCGCAGAAACAACGACGGGTCAGCAGTAGAGGGAGCAAACCCAAGAGCCGCAAGCGTAGTCCTCAGTGTGTCGTGCCACTCACGCGGTGCCTGGCGGAGACCGTAGACTGGCCGTCGGAGGCTCCACTGGGTGCCAGGAGGGAAAGTCCAAGTGAAGCCAGGTGGACGGCGCAACCAGATCGACTTGTGCAGGCTACCCTGCAAGAAAGCAGTGCTGAAGTCAAGAGAGTGGAGCTCGTAGTCGCGCTGAGCAGCTATGTGCAGCAGCACCCGAAGAGTGGTCATCTTTGGGGTGGGAGAGAAGGTCTGAAAGTAGTCAACTCCCTGCCGTTGACTGAAGCCACGAGCCACGTACCGCGCCTTGAAGACAGGTGGAGAGCCCGGCGGCCGCTTCACCCTGAAGATCCACATGCCACTGACGATGTTCGCCCCAGGAGGGGGAACCGCGTCAACGTAGGTGCCTGTGGACTTCCAGGAAGCCATCTCTGCATCCATAGCTGCCTCCCACTGAGAGGAGTAGGGACCCTCTACGGCCTCCGCGTAAGAGCGCGGAGTCGGGATGTCTAGTGCATCCGGGACTCCCTTAGGGGCAATCAGTACAGACGCGAGATGAGGTGAAGCAGCAGCCAGACACTGAAACTCCTCCTGCCTGTCCTCAAGGACGTCCGTGCCAAGAGCACACTCACCCCCGACGGACGGAGGACAGACAGACGCAGACTCAGCAACAAGACTAGCAGCGTAGTCTAGACGACAGCGAGCAGCAAAGTCGACGAGCTAGGCAACAAGAGCAGACGCAGCAGTGGACTCAAAGGAGGGGTAAGTGACGACAGCAGCAAGGAGACGCGTGACAGTAGGACTGGCAGCACCAAGAGAGTCCGACTCAGGGTCGGCAAGCGCAGGAAGAGAGGACTCAGGAGGAGAGGGCAAAGGGGCACGCAGAGGAGCAGTGGACGGACGCAGAGACATCCGGTGCGTGCCAGGGACAGGAGGAGGACGCTGACGCGAACTGCGACCACTAGTGCGAGCAGCACGAACAGGCGACACAGGACGAGACGCAGGCTCACGACGCTCAGCAAGACCTCCAGTAGGACCAGTGTAGGGAGAAGGAGAAGGCAGTGGGGAGGCCGGCGGTAACTGTGACTGCGACTGGACAGGCGGTGGACCCTCTAAGAGAGGAGGAAGACCAAGAACCTGCTGAAGGAGCGGAACAAAGTACGGCCGAGGCCGCGCGGCGGCACTAGACACAGCAGGGACAGCACCAGCACCCTCAGCACCTCCGGCAGCACCAGCGCCAACAGCACCTCCAGCGGCAGGACCTCCAGCAGCGCCAGCAGCACCCGCAGCACGACCACCACCAGGACGGACAGTAGTAGTCTCAGAACTAACACCCTCAGCAGCTCAAGCTCCAGGCGGACCCGCAGGCCCAGCAGCTCCGGGACCGTCGGCACCAGCACCCTTAGCGGCCGAAGAAGCGCCAGCTCCAGCAGTACGCCTCCAGCGGCGAGCAAACCACTCGCGCAGCTCCTGTGGAGAGAGTGGCTCCCGCCGAGACGAAACACCCAGAGAACCTCCAGGCCCAGTACCGCCATACGCCACAAGGGGAGGTCCAGTGGCCGCAGGCTCCACACCTCCAGGCTCAGCAGCTCCAGACGCAGTACCCCCAGGCTCAGCACCCCCAGGCTCAGCACCCCCAGCAGTACCTGAGTCACCAGCAACCTCTACCGGCTCGACTGCATCTACCTGGGACACACCTGAAGGGGCAGGACCCTGAGGGGGAAGGGGGTCTACCGGGGTGGGACCTGGCACAAGGAAGTGCGGTGGCGGCGGGAGGGAAGGAGTGCGGTAGGGGAAGAGGCGGTAGAAGGGGACGGACTTATCGAACGTGACGTCCTGGGAGGACAGAACACGACGAGAGGAGGGGTGGTAGAACTGCCACCCTGGGGCGTCAGGGGGGAAGCCTAGGAAGACACAGGGAGCAGCACGAGGGGACAGCTTGTCCGCAGACAGGTCGCGGACAAACGCCCGAGATCCCCAGACACGGAACGCAGACGCATCGCCGACCTTCCCCGTCCACAGCAGAGCTGGGGAGGTCTCCGGCCGGGAGACTCTGGGGTGAAGGTTGAGCTGATGCGCCGCGTACGGAACCGCAAACGGCCACAGAAAATGGGGGGCAGCCGCATGCATCATGGACGTACGAGCGACGTCCATGACCATGCCAATGCGGCGCTCAGCAATCCCATTTTGCTGTGGAGAGTCCGGAAGCGTGAAGGTCTGGCGGATGCCTCGTGCACGACAGTGGGCTCGTAGAAGGCCAAAGGAGAACTCTCCGCCTCGGTCAGAGTGCAGACGCTGAACAGGAAAGTCCGAGCCGAAGCTCCTCTTGAGCTGGAGACGAGCCGCGCGGATCCAGTTGATCAACACCTCAGTGACATCACCCTTGCTGCGCAAGGGGAAGACTGTGGTGTAACGCGAGTAGTCGTCAACCACCAGCAGGAAGTAGCGCTCGTGACCTTGTCCACGGACGCGGGCTGGGCCCCACACGTCCATATGAAGCGTCTGCAGAGGAGCCTCTGTCGGGGGAAACTGGGAGGAGTGAGGGGCAGCCCGGAGCCGCCCCTCGACACAGGGGACACAGGAAGGTCCTGGCCCCGAAGGAAGGGGAGGGAGAGACCGGGGGAGACCAGAGACAAGGACACGGGAAGCCATGCCCCGAAGACGAGGCAAGGAGGGGTGGCCAAGACGGTGGTGCCACAAGAGAGTCTCGTGAGACAGGAGGCGACACGAGCAGGGGGCAGACTCAGGACCAGACCTGGACGCAGCAGCAAACACCTAACCCGACGTAGCTACCTGACCAGACGCAGGGACTGGAGGAGACTCAACGGTCAGGGTGTAGAGACTCGACCCGGGCCAACGCGAAAACGTGGCTAGGTGTCGGCCTGTGCGGGCGTCCGAGCAGTGGGTCCCCCGCTGATTCGCAAGAGTAAACTGGTGAGCCCCCGCATCCTGCAGGTCAGCACCACTCACCAAGTTCGTCGAGAACGAGGGGAGGTACAGACCCGACAGGGTGCCCGAGGGGGCAGCCGGACACGGGAGGACAGTGGAGAAGTGAGCGAGGACAGGGGCCCCCAGAGGGGTCAGCCAGGGAGACTGCAACCGGCCCACCAAGCGGCGTGAGTGTGGTGCGGTCTCGAAAGAAGGAGCGAGAAGCCCCTGAGTCAAGTGTGAAGGTGAGGGAGGCCGAAGCCGACGCAGTACCTGAGAGCGCAGCCTCACCAGTACCTGAGAGCGCAGCCTCACTAGCACCTGAGAGCGCAGACGCACTGGCACCTAGAGCAGTAGCCTCACAAGCACCTAGCG